AAAAGCCTTTGGCAAGGGCGCCACGAGGGATTTGAAGGCAGGCTAGTGCCTAACGTTGCTTTCTGAAGCTACTAGAAAAGCTCTTGGAAAGCGCCTAGAATGCCGCAAAAGCTTCTGGCAAGGACGGCACGAGGGATTTGAAGGCAGGCTAGTGCCTAACGTTGCTTTCTGAAGCTACTAGAAAAGCTCTTGGAAAGCGCCCAGAATGCCGCGCTTCTAGCGGGCGCATGCCCTGCCATCGGCGGGGTGCTCCTCGGACGCGCTCCCCCTGCCATCGTCTGGGGTCGGCGGATTAGTCTATATACCTGTGTTGGGGATTCTGACTATCCATTTTGGGAAATAGTATTAAGCAACCAGTAATCCAACCCATTAATAGGGATTTACACAACCATTATGTTTGGATTCCTATTGTGGGATGATCATAGACCATTTTTGCCATCTTTTGACTATGGCACATTGGATTCCAGAAGAGTTCCTCATGGTTCAGTCATTTGTCCACTAACACTGGCAAACCATACTGGTATTTTGTCGCGTTCTGGTCATATCGCCATATGAAACATATTTGCTATTGATCGGATTCATGATGATCAACTACCCATGTCCTCTCTGGATTGAAAGGAAAATCCTAACCAGAAACATCCGGAAACCATGGTTTTCCCCATCAAAAAGAGGGGTTTCCTGAATTTTTTCTCTTTAAACTTTAAACCAATCCACCGATTTTCGTGACCTCTACAGCCGCTCTCGTTCCCTTGAACCTACGGGTCACTGGTGGCAGTCCTGGCGGCGGCGACTGCGGTGTCACGGCCACATGTCGGAACCTCATCACGGGCTTCCCGAAGCGGGAGGAGTATCCGGAAGGCCAGGGTGACTGAGGAATTTGATACCCTCTGGTAAACTAACAAAAAGCGAACTGGAAAATGGCCATAGAAATAGTGGATTTACCCATTCATGGCAGCGTGATTTTCTATAGTTACGTTAGTTTAGCAGAGGGTAACCATTGGGATGTAAGAATGATATCATTCTATAAGGATTTTTCAGATTCAAAAAAGGAATATTCACACTGCAGATTGGTGGTGGTGATGGGGACTTCTGAAATGTTTGGGATACCTAAGAAGGAATGGTGATCTCTTCGGTTTTTGTGGCAAATACCATCCGTCACTCCAACGAAGAGCTCAACCCTGCAATGAAACCGGGGGTTGGAAGATGACTTTAACCTAGGGATGGCAATTCTCAGACTTCAACTTGTACAGCTTATGGTCGTTTTTTGGCGCTTGACTTATGTTATGTGATAGTCAGTCATGTTTTCCTCAATCTGTTAGTTGGGTGGGGGTAAATCTTCTAAATCACCTAAAGCCATGGGAGGAATGGGGATATGACCGCAGCTACGGTGCCAATTTCTTCAGATTCAGCCAAGGAAAAAAACAGGATTTCCCTACAAGAAACGGCGATCTTCCGTAGCCATGTCAAATTATCATAGAGTACATGGTGGAAGATCACAAGGTTCCCCTCAGCAACTTCTCAAGAGTCGTATCTTGGGGACGTTGTTTGATGGTGCAAGGGATGAGAGGTTGATGTTTGTCATTTTATTCAGAAACACTAATTGAATTGAAATAGCAGTTGAGAAATCTCGTGTTTTGCATCACTTTGCAGTTATCAATCTATCTCCACTGGAGCTTCGACTCATGGCCATCAAGCCATGGCTTTGTTTTGCCGCGGTGCTGTGCCCGTTACCGTGGAGCTTCTCGGCCATCTCTCAGGCGGATCGCGGCGCGCGGATCCACGGCCACTTCCCCGACGTGGACGTGCTCTGTGTGGACTGGCGGACGCGGCCCTTGGCGGCGCAGATTCCAGTGCCATGGCTGGCCAGGAAGGTTCATAACTGGAGTGCCAGGAAGATTGTGGCGAAACTTGGAGCCGTTGAGTTTTTTTTCTTTTTTTCTTTTTTTTTTAAATTGAAAAAACACATGCGAACAAGAAATGGGGGAAGTCATCTGGAATCGTTTTTTTTGCTTTGGGGGGACCTCATGCAAATCTACAAATCTAAGGAAGAAGAAAGATCTTCCATCATCTCGCGATTTCTACAAATCTTCGATTCATCTGACCTTGTCGCAGAAGGGTTTCTTGGAATATCGCTGGGTTATCCAAAAGTGTGTCCCAGGGGCTGCCCACGTCGCCATCAAACAACCAAAGCTGCGGCTCCTGCGAATTCTTCTACGACTCTTCATGCGCGACTCAGCGCATACGCAGCTGGAGTGTGGCTTTCAGTCAGCTGGCAGGTTGAAGGTGTCTTCCAAGCTGCCCAAAAATCCAGGTGAATTGAGGAGAAGCCTCCAGGTCTATGCGCCCTACTCCAGTTTTCAGGTGATCTTGCAGAAGTGGGAGCAGCAAAATCATCCAGAGAAAGACTTCCGGAAGGCCAATGAATTTGCCAGGGAGTGCTTGTTGTGGTGTGCCGAACAACCGCAACGATTGTGATACCCCACCTCCGGCTGCGTGGACCTCGAAGACTGCGGTGCTGGCGGTCGCTTCGGTGAAGTCGATGGATACGTCGCGTGGCTGTATCCTCCGGAGGAACTGGCTGTCCTCTCCGTGGGTGGTGGGTCATCGCCTACACCCGGCCTGATCATTTGTGCAATAACTGGATGAAATAGGTCAAAACCTAGCCGTGGGAGGATGAACGGCACCAGCTATACACCAGCTGTTTTGGTGTGAAAACCACGGTACGGCTTTCGGTCCGTGGTATATGAGTCTGTCCAAACATGGGGCACCCTCGACGTTTACTGGCTTGGAATAGGCTTGGAACCTAGTTTTCCTCGTTAAAATGTTGGAGACACATAGACTGGCCAAAATGAGCAGTGTTGTTTCAGACCCGGACCCCGGTTGAAAATGGTAGCCGGTGACAAAGCTAGCCTTTATCTGATTGGTGGTTTGGAACAGTTGGATTATTTTTCCATATATTGGGAATTTCATACTCCCATTTGACTTTCATATTTTTCAGAGGGATAGGTATACCACCAACCAGTTTATGTATTGGGGATTATCACTGATCACAATTGATGAACATGTTATTCACCTTCCAGGATTTACCACAATGCTGATGAATACCATTCGATGCGGGCTTGGGTCAGTCATTTCAAACATCAGCCCCAAACGTGGGGAATCAGAAAAACATGCAGATAGAATCCGAGTTCCCCTTTGTGAAATCCTCATAATTCCCCATGAATCCTTGTAAATCCACATATATCCCCATATATCCCCATGAATCCATACAGAATCTTCAAAACTAGCCCTACTCGTACCAATGGGTCAAGATTCAAGATCGCACCTACGTCGGCAAATTTCAGGATCTACAACACTTCAAGTTGGGGGGTGCCCATGTCTATACCATGTAGTGATGCGGAAAGCCAATCATAAACGACCCTTAAACTTTGCCATTTCGATATGAAGGTTGTTAAAGCTTGAAACAATTAGTTTGTCATCAGGTGTACCTCATTCTCTGATGTCATCAGCAAACATGGGACAGAGATCATCAATATTAACCATTCTCTTCAGCGTAAACCTCGAGCAAGATGCTGAACTGATCGGATTTTCAATCCCTTGGTTTTTCAGATTTACGCAGAGTTCCTGCTTCAGATTTTCCCAAGTCATCCAAACCATTAATCATCATTATATCTCATTACCCTCTGGTAAACATACAAAAAGCTACTACCACTAGGCTTAAGTTGTATCAATCGACCTGAAGTCGTATCACACCTGCGTGCGCGCAGTGTTTCGTATAGATTTTGATAGTTCTTTATTTGATGGGTTATTGATTCGAACACTTTTTCATCGCTGTGCGCAATGTTTTGTTGACATGATTCTATTTGACCCTACTAGCCCTAGCGTTAAGTCGTATCAGCTCGTAGAAGTTGTATCGGGAGGCCGTGCGCCTGGAAAAAGTTCAAGTTTGGCATCACCACAACTTTTAGTAATTGGACGATTTCATTGTTTTGGGGCCGTGCGCCTAGAAAAAGTTCAATTTTTGTATTGCGTTGATTTATAAAACTTATATTATATTTCATTATTCTTTCAACGGGGCAAATGCTGGTTGCTGCTTTCTGCTTGCTTTCTGCTTGCTTGCTGCTTGCTTGCTGCTCCTTGCTGCTGCCTCCTGCTGCTGCTGCCGCTGCTGCTGTTGCTGCTGCTGTTGCTGCTGCTGTTGCTGCTGCTGTTGCTGCTGCTGTTGCTGCTGCTGTTGCTGCTGTTGCTGCTGCCTCCTGCTGCTGCTGTGGCTGCGGCTTCCTTCTGCTGCTGCTGCTGCCTCCTGCTGCTGCCTCCTGCTGCTGCCTCCTGCTGCTGCCTCCTGCTGCTGCCTCCTGCTGCTGCCTCCTGCTGCTTGCTGCTTCCGCCTGCTGCTGCTGCTGCTGCCTCCTGCTGCTGCTGCTGCTGCCTCCTGCTGCTGCTGCTGCTTCCTCCTCCTCCTGCTGCTGCTTCCTCCTCCTCCTCCTCCTCCTGCTACTGCTGCTGCTTCCTCCTGCTGCTGCTGCCGCTGGTGCAAACATTTTGCCGAAAAAGAAAATTACAGTCTCGGTCGCCTTGTTTGGCGCTGGCGGGAGATACGGGCGGGAGACGCCAGCAGAGAGAGGGAATGTTTACAGAAGGCAGAACTTATGAAACATTCAAGCGGAACGGATGTTGACAGCGGTGTGCCACTGGGTTTTCAGATTTTAACGTTGTTGATATGATGATGTTGCCCATAGCTATTACATGGAAATCTATGTTTGTTAGGAAACAAAGTTAAAGATCTGGGAGGCCGTGTGCCATGGTGATTCCTAAATATATCCTTTGAAAACATAGTTTAAACATATGTGAATACCTCAGTGTGCGCAATGTTTTCTTCATTTTTGGAGATATAACAACATTCCTTGAAAGCCGGTGTGCCATTGGGATTTTGATATTTTGATGTGACTTTTGCCCAGTTGATGTGACTTTCTTCCAACTCGCTGTTACATGGGGTTGATGTGACTTCTGCCCAACTGATGTGACTTTAACTTAAACCCTTCGCTAGTATTGAAAATGGGCATAGAAATAGTGAGTTTTCCCATTGAACATGGTGGATCTTTCCATCGTTTTTTGTATGTTTACCCGGCCGGGTACATCCCAAAAAAGACACCCAAATCCACTGATTCGGTGAACCCTGTGACCGACCGAAGCCTGAAGGGACTCGCAGGGTAACTATCCCCGGAGGCCCCACGAACTTCAGGTTGGTGAAGCTAGATAAACTGACAATAAACTGACAGAATTATGTGGACAATCAAACATTAAAAGATATGAAAAGTACATGATGATTTTTAGTTTTCACCATAGCTTTTCACCGGTTTGCTGATCCGCCGTTCGCGTTTTTGGAGGTTTGGATTGCCTCTTTATTCACAGCCCCAAGCTGCGGAACTTGCCGATGGACCAAAAGGAGGCCGATCTACTTTTTATGGTTGGTCAACTCCACATATGTTGCAGGAGGGTAGCCCCCCCCAAAAAAACAGCAATTTATGATGGAATGTACAACCAATGATAGTTGATGGGATATATAAATGATCCAGCCAACTTTTGATATATAAATAGCAATCAATACAATCATAGGTTTATGGGGATATAGCGATGGGATGTACCAACCAATTAACTTGATTCATGATAGTTGGGTATGAAAATGGGGTGTCTCCCGCGATGACAATGATGTTCCATTGGATTTGTTGGGAACCATATCTTTCCACACAAAGCCACTTCTATGTTTTGATGCGGATGCATAGCCATTACCCTCTGTTATTTTAAACATAGATGAACATGGTCCGTTCATAAATGATTTATGATGGTTTACCGGTTTACCTATTAAAAACGTGTTATTTTCCAGTTCGCCACGTTCAACAACCAGAGAGTAGCTATGAAAAATCACACCCTAAGGGAATATGTTCTTCATATATCCCAATTGGACATACCCCATGCTTCATGGCTTAAATATATGGATGATATATAGCTAATATTCCCCAACAATGGTGGGTTCATAGGTTGAAAATTGCCATTTATAGTTGATTTACCTGTTACAAATGGTGTTTTTCCTGTAAAAACTCCTGCAGTAAAACCACATGTATTATACATAACATTGACTGTCGTGCAGCGTTGGTTCAAAACAGTTCCGAGTGCTAGCGGTTTAATTGTATTTCACCCCATTATTGGCTGACCTGGTAAACTAGAGGTTATCAGCCGTAGTCTCACTACTTAGCTATGGGGACCCCAACTGACCTTCCTCTCGCCGTTCCGGGGTCAGGTCCATCGAGTGTCGCCGTGCCCAATGTGGCCGGAGGCGACTCCGCGCCGATGGATGATGAAACCATGAATCAGCCAGTTGTAGCGTACTTTACATTCATACAAAACAACATGTCTCAAATCACAAGTGGAAACACCCTGCAAGTCGTGAGGGAAGCTGAACAAAGGCACCTTCAGATAATGCATGGAGTAGTTGACTCAATCCGAAGAGAATGGTCAAGTAGACTCGTAATGCAAGAGCAGGAGTATGAGCAAAGATTGCAGGATGTAGAGAACAAAGCAATTGGAGCCCTCAATGAGGAAACTAAAAAAAAAGTTACTGTATAGATCAAATTGAGGAAAGGCAACGTATCACTAGTGAGTTCGAGGCCTCCTATGCACAAACGGTAGAACATGCAACAAATGCCATAGCTGCAACGAAGAAGCAATATGAAGATCAAGCTGCAATTGAACAGGCCAAGTTTATCCAGTTGAAAACGGAGTTTGAAAACTACAAAAAGGAAATGGCCGAAAAGATCAACGAAGCAGCGGCACAGAACCTTAGCCTTCAGGACCAAATCGATGACCTTCAGGAGCAGTTGAAGCATGTTGCCAAAGCGCAACAAGCATCCGTTCCGAAAGCATCCGTCCAGAAAGCCGAGCCAGCCACCATCGCTGGTGTGCCCCACTTCAGTATTGCTACTCCTAGAGTACCCGATGCACAAGCTGCCAAAGGCAGCGATGAGCCGATTCCAGAGTTGAAGACACCTGCTGTGTTGGCACAAGAGGCAAAAGCCAAGTTGGATGAGTTGCTCAAAGGTGGCACTCCCCAGCAGAAACCAGCTGTCGGTGACGACAAGCCTCATTTGCCGACGCATTCAGGGTTCATGACTCCCACTGAAGTTATCAAAACTCCCCCAAATGATTCCCCTAAGAGCGCAACCAAGCAACAGCAGATGATGGGTCCCTCAGAACTCATTGAACTGGTGAAAGCCTTAACCCAAAGGGATGAGAAGGATAAGCCAAAGACTAAGGAGGCTGAGATCATCAAGCTGAACAACATGCCCGCTCCGGAATCATACAGGACTTGGAAGAATTATGTGAGGGATGAGGTGAAGAGTTGCTCAGATCGTCCAGATGAAGCATGGCTTTGGCTCAACGAGGTGTACGGTCAGGAGTGCACCAGAGAAGAGCTGGAGAAGAAGCTTCAAGATCCTGGGAAGTTCCTTACGCTGGATACAAAGTTATCAGCAGCGCTCACGCGCTCAGCCGGAGGGGACCTCGCAACTAGGATACTGAACTTCAAAGAGCAACAATCCCGGAAAGGCATCCAGGTCAGGGGAAGATATGTTCTGCTCATGTTTGAGGACTACTTCAAAACATCAGAAGAAGCAGGTAGCCTTTACAGAGTAGAAGATCTTTTGGGTGTTGTCAAGGTAGGTGATACGGTCCAGGATCTTAGAAGATTCATCAACAAATGGGATGCTACCTTAGCTGGCATGGCTGTCACCCCCGATGATGCCGTGTTGAGGGACATTCTGTTGAGACAGATCCGACCGAGTCAGTTGCTGAAGTATGACATCGAGGTGTTCGATCGCGCCCATGAGAAAT